TTTATAAAACAACAAAAAAAAAGAAGCAAAGAAAACCAACCTTTATGTACCTAAAAATAAAAAATTTTTTAAAAAACTTTAAAAACTAAAAAAGACGACCTGCTTAAAAAAATTAATCAATTAAAACTATTGACAACGAATTTAGGGCTAAACGCGAAATATATTCGAATGAAATAAAAATGAAATAAAATAAAGTAAAATAAAATAAAAATAACAACGAAAACGTTTTCCAAAAATTGGTTTATAAAATATTATATAAATGACTTGAAAACAACAACAAAAATTAGGTTTTAGAAAAACATTCAATTCATGTTTCTTTCCTTGCTCGATTACGAACCGAATCTATTGTTGTTCATAAATTCAAAAGAAAAGAAGAAGGAAATCTCCTAAAATTAAGTCATAGTCCTAAAGTAAACAGGAAAATAATTTTAGATTTTAGTAAAGAACAAGTGAAAACACTATAGTGAACCAAGGCCCAATATTTCATACTCTGCCCCATCTTGCAAGTATTCATATAAAGACGGGAAGTGGAGCGATCCAAAACATTTTCAATAATATTCATCCTGGGGTCAATGTGCGCCAATGTACCGAATTTCATCCAAGAATCTCTAAAATAGCGGCCGATAGGTTGAAGGAAACAAACTGAACAGACAGACAGACAAACTTACCTCGACTCGGAAAGTGATTCTGAATCGATCGGTATGTAATGAAAGATGACTTCAGCTCCAATAGGCCTTTGTACCGCAAGTGGGGCTGGGTATAGAAGCATAAATTTATTTTCTTATAAAGTAAAAGATTTCGCGTGCGATTACGAACCGAATCCATTGTTTTGGGTAAATTCACAAGAAAAAAAAAAAGAAAATATTACTTCTAAAAGCACGAATCTTTTTCCAGAAGATCTGGTCACATTGTAGTAGCAAATTAAGTAAAGATATTAGGAAAAAAACAAGTCAAAACCATATGATGAACCGCGGCCTGCTATTAAATATCCGTTATCGTCCTACAGTTATTCATATAACGACTATTCAAGATAAGGCGATCTATGATAATTGCTCGAAATAGTGGTGTGATCTGAATCGTATTCAATAACCTTCGCCCTTACGTCGAAACAAGTCCGGTATCAAATTTGATGCAAATATCCTAATAGTAGCGGCCTATAAATTGAACATAAGAAGACATAAGTCGGACGGACTGACAAACGGACAAAAAAGCTTAGCTGAATCGATTTATATAATAAAAGCTGGCTTATGTCAAGTCCTTCCGCGTGTCGTCGTATACATCCGCATAAACTCAAAAGTAGTGCAACGTATAAAGAAAAGATAATCCATTTTTCGAAATGAACTGATCGAACCTACTCGCTCTTTATTCGTTACAACTTGACCTAAAAGATGACTAAATTGCTATGATTTTGAAAATATATTTTTTCAATTTTTCAATGTTAGCGAAATATTTTCCTTCGGAAAGATCACAACAGTACTTCATATACTTTAGCGGATATTAGGCATAAAAACAGACAGAACTAACACGATATACATAAGTAAATCTTTTATAAATATTACTCTCATTAACAAAATTTATTACAATACGACCTTCCAACGACCTTCCTTTCACACAGAGTATCAATTTGACTATATTGACTAAATAAAGTTAGCTTTCCTTTACCTCTCTGAAGTAATACCCAGAACTTCTATTCGATTTATAAAAATCACTTCCTCTATAGAAATTCTATTACGCGAATAACTGAGATTACACATGTTCTCATAGACAAACCCGAGTATTTAGAGAAAAAAAAAATTTGTATCCAAGTTTTTATATGGAATAAAATAGAAATTAACTACATTACAAAAAACAAAAAAAAAAAAAAGGTCAGTGATTTATTTGAAATGTGAAACTCTTTGTACTCTGATGCGAAATTCTTTTTACTCCTGTGTAAAACTCTTTTTTATTCTTTCTGAGAATTAGTAGCTGAATGTGAAGTAAATCCAACTTTTTGGAAAGAGCATGAGGTCTTTTCGTCATAGGTTCTTGATCTCAGTAGTATTACTTCTAGTCTGCAGTCTGTATGGACAACTATGAATTTTTATATGAAAATTCCCAGAAATCCACCACCACCTTTTAATAGTGGATATCAAATGATGGACAAGCGCAGTAGCAAAATTGTTAAAAAGTTTTGCGTTAAATTTGAAGACAATTTATCTGCGGGGTCACATAATGTCTTATAAGGTCTCATAAAGGTATACGCATTCGTTATGAAACAAGTGAAATGCTTTGTTTTTCGCCATGCGGCACGAAAAAGTGGACAGAAATGACTGCAAATTTTCTTAAGATGACACTTTCAGCTTTGCTTCTCAATGACAGCAAGGTTCTATATGGTATGCGTCTGCAAGAAGAACTCGTTCTTTATTTCTCTTCTAGTCAAACAATTAGCGATGTCCATAAACTGAAAGAGTAGGATCATCTGTTTCTAATAGACCTAAGAAAGGGGGTCGAGAGCGTAAATAATCGAAATACGAGTGTTTTTTATTTGCGTAAAGGGTGATCTAAGACAATCGTTGGTGGACTTAAGAGTACGGTATTACATAGGCCTCATTCATATCTAGGACTTCATTCTGAAAGTCCAGAAGTAGTCGACCCTCCCAAGAAATTATATTATTATCAAGTTACAGGACTTCATTCTGAAAGTCCAGACGTAGTGGGGCTTCCTAGGAAGTATGACTATTCGCAGACATCCCTAGGTCGTTTAGGAGGATACACTGCGTTAACGTCACGTCGTCCGATGGCATGGAGAGTGTGAAAATGCGCACTCAGCGCCCCGAGCGTGATTAATCTCAAAATACCAGTGGAAATACTTGAAAGTCTTATACTAACCCACGACTCATCATGAAGTACCCTACATCGTACTACTGCTATTCATGTAATGGCTTCTTAAACGGGAGGCGTTATATGAAAAATGAGCGAAAAGGCGGTCCATTTCGAACAGTATTCATTCTTGGGCAAAGGCATGTCGGTGTATCACATTTAATCAAAATATCTTGAAAAATGCGATCTGCACATAGGACATAAAAAAAAAGGGCCGGACAGACAAGCGTATATTACTTCAGAAAGAGATTGTAAAAAAGGACGATATAATAAAACGTGGGACTGGGTGTTGCATACATCCGCACAAACGTACAGTACACACTCTTGTACCACAAGTAATACACGGTACATAATATGTACAAATACTTTTTATTCAAAAAGTGTTGAAGAATTAAATAAAGACAATTGAAAAAATTTTCATACGTGCAAACTAAACTCTATATTATTAATAAATAAAAAAAAAAAAAAAAAAAAATGTTTATAAGAAAGAATATGAAAATTCTCATTTGAATTGAATGCTTTTGCGAGAATAAATCTAAAGAAACGGAAAAGAAAGAATGAAGAACGCAATGAGAAAAAAATATGTAAAAATTTATTTTCATAACGTTGACCCCAAAAGCATGTATAAAAATATATTTTCGTGTATTTTTATTTTTGGTTTTTTTTTTTTCGATCATATGAATACCACTATAATGACGGCACACAACCCAAGTCATATATTAAATGTTAAAAAAAAAAAACAAAAAAAACAAAAATTGATTCTTAACTTTATCTCGTATTTGAGAAGAATAAATTTTCACTTTTATTTTGTCTGCGTATAGCAGCTTTTAACCATAGAAGAAAACGGGGAAAGAGATATTAATAATTAAAATAATTATTATCTTAACAAAGCGTATGCTAAACTCACTGAACACCTTGAGCCAAAAGACGGGGGAAAAAAAAATGTATAAAAATAATTTTGTCTAAACTAGAACAAAATATTAAAAGAAAACGACAACACTTTTAGTTTCTTTTTTTTTTTTTTCTTGTTTTGTTTTCGTCTTAAATATAAATAACAATTTATATGCGGTCATAAATTTGTATAAACGTTTAGCAAAAATATATCTGACTATAAGCATGTAGCCGCAATGTATACGTCTTGTTTCCTTGTTTGTGTAACGAGAGAAAAAGAAATTTTGTTAACTAAATAATCAAAAAAAAAAAAGAAAAGAAAAGAGAACCGAATATGTATGATTTAGATAGTAATTCAAACGCCCGCCAGATTAATTTCCGGTTTCAGTTAAAAAACTCCTTATTAAACTCCTTAACTGACCTAATCAGTCGATTTTAACGGAGTTCACTTCTCAGTAAATTTACTTCCTCAAAGGCTTTCTCCAAATCCTTCGTCTTCAAGCCATAACCTGCAAACATTGTAGCTTTGCGGTAAGACCCAAAAATGCACTATAGATTCGTCACAGAGATGTGCCAGCGACTTAGCACCTCAAATAACTGCAATATTCTCATCTTTGCATCTAATAGCCCTATTGTGAGCAGCATCACAAAGACATCAAAAGTCACAAAGCATTTTTTCTGTTTGATTTGCGGGACTTATTTAACCCGGTTTTATGATAAAACCATCGCTTCGGAAGACCAAAATTGATAACATATCAAAACAGCTTTAGGAAGCATACATGTTTTTTCTGTTTATGACTAATGACCGATCATAACATCAGAATACACCTCCAAAGGTTTTTAGAACACTATGTTTCACTTTTGCACTATTCCTCTCTTACGAAGCCGATCCCTAAAACTTTCATAAATCTTATCTGAATTTTTATAAAGAATAAACAATCAATTAAAAGTTTGTATATGTCTAATTAGACGGTTTGGTTGAAATTAAAAAAAAAAAAGAGTATAAGCAGTGGGGCACTTCGAACCATTAAATATCCTCAATCACTCTACAGTTGTTCAGATTATAACTTTTCAAAATAAGGCGTTGTGGTCCGAAATATTGGTCGATAAAGTCCTTCGATCGAGCCGAATCATTTTAAATAGCATGCCTACCTAGACCAGAAGATGTTGGTGTACCAAATTTCACGGAAATATCTCAGAAATTGCGACTTTTAATTTGAATACAAGAGAATAAGGCGGACAAACAGACAGACAAGCTCAAATCGATTCAAAGAGTGGTTCCGTATCGCGATGGCGGTAATAAAAGATGGGTCTATTGTAAATCTTTCTGGGCCTTCCATACAAGTTCTTAATTAGAGTTTCGGGTTAATGACAGCAATAACAATAATAACAGACAAAATTAGTGATACAGATCACGTGATGATCATTATTGATTTATTGATGATTCACTGATGTTAATCTCTCTTGCTTAGTTAATACTTGTTCAAGTTGTAATAATCCATTAGCGTACTATCCATTCTCCAGAAGATAGATATCAAGCCAAGGACAAGGATAGAAATTATTGATATATGAATTTAAAAAATTTGTAAAACCATTGTCAGTTAAGACAAAAAGCTTAATTATAATTATAAAAACTTAGGAAAAGTCAGTTAACAGTTTTAATAACGGCATTTAGCTTAAGTTCAAGATGAGCTGTGTCCCTGCATGACAGATTTCATATAGGTTAATAAAGATACTGAATATCTCAAATGGAAGTCTAGTGTTGTTGAATTTACTGCACTTAAAAATAGAAAACTCAACGTGAGACTCATCACATACCCGTCTGACCCTCTTTAAATCAATTTTGTCATATATATGATTACACGAGAGTCTGTTCAGCACCTTAATCTCCCATGTGGTAAAGTTGGTATCATTAAAAGGCAATAGTCTTCGTTGGATCTTGCTACATTCCCATATATATGCCTTTCCAGTCATGGGTGATATTTCGAATTAGACGGCAGGCGTCTTTGGAGAGATATTTGATTAAGAGAATTTCTCCATCAAGCCGAGCTTATTGTACTAGAAGTGGTAGAGCAGTGGTTGTAGGGTAGTGATTGTAGTTTATAACAAGTGCTTTAAAATTTTGCTTGCAATGAATTCGTCATATTTAATATATCCCTGCAAGCAGCGCATATGGAAATGTACAAGCTTTCTGTTTAGTTATTGTAGTAAATTAAATTTTACATTCTTTTAAGTCATACCTTAAACTATGTATAGTCGTGATAATAGGAAGCTTGTCGGTCGGTAGTTGAAAATCCTAAAAATTGACACAGAAACGTGTAATCTTTATTATACTAATATTTCCAAATCTGGTTCATATCGGGTATAATTCACTCATTGCTAAAATAAAGTGGTCTGAGAATAAGAAACATATTATATTCGCTTCGGGCAAAGCTTTTTTAATTCCCATCACTAGCTTGTGTACAGTATTTAACTGCCATTTAAACCACATACTAAGTTAATTTAATTTATATCGCCCGTCATATTGTACGTAGAGCCATCACCACCATAAAATTTTGAATCAATTTGAGCATCTTCATTCGTCCGCCTGTCTGTCTGTTTGTGTCATATCTATGATAAACATCTCACTAGTCACAGAAAAGAAGCTGTCGCCTTCAAATTTGCCAGAAACATTGGAAGTGCTTCCATGCAGATTGGCTTAAAACTGAGCCGCATCCGGCAAAGAGTACGTTCACTGTGCGACATGACCCGAGACCACCTTAACTTGAAAAAGAAAATGTCGTTTTCCCGTCATTGTTTATAAATCAGAAAAGATACAACGATAAAGATCTGCCTTTATATTCTATAGGTTATCCTGCAGCAGTAGGTAGGCCACACACCTACTCAGCAGTGTACAATATTGAAATTTCATTCTTTTGTCAAAAGGTTGCCAGCACCCAGAAAGAAGGTTCGGTTGATAAATGTGAGTCGACCGAGCCATGTTTGTCAGTCCATCTATCTGTTAATTGCTGCGGTAATCGCAGTCATTGGTTGGTTATAAATGCAAAAATGCACAAATGGAAAACATAAGAGATTAGCCACGCCTATCTAAAATTCTCGAATGTGGAAATTTGGCTTTTGCATTTTCTTGAGTATTGTTAAAGGGTATAAAAGATTCTATGCCAGCCGAGCACAATTTTTTTACCTGCAATTATAATTCTTTTTTTTTTTGTTTTTTTTTGCATTGTATTTAAAAATATGTCTAAAAATTATCTCTCGAGTTCTTAATAAAATCTAAAGATACGCTCAGCTGTGCAGCTAATTAAATTGATTTAAATGTGTAATGATGTATTTACGATGAATTTTTTGAAATTATGCCATTATTTTATGAAATCACCTGCAGAGCAAAAATAAAATCCTCGCCTGTTTCTCATCTCTTTTTAAAGTTGTTGAGAATATGTCATGAGAGGGGCATAATATATAAATTTGTTTAAGGCATTCATGCGATCATCGCAATTGTCTAAAACATTCGCTAATAAATTTTTAAATCTTTATCAATTAAAGTAAAAAGGTTGTTTTCAATTATTTTTTCATATAAAAAAATCTTTAGAATTTCGTGATTGTTTAGTGGGAAAATGCTTAAGAAAAGCTTTGTGAAAATATGTAAAAACTTAAGAAAACCGTGAATTAACATACAACAATAACAACAACAGCAACAACAACAATAAAAAGAATGATGTTGGTTATTAAATAAAAATACATATATATATAAAAAAAAAAAAATTCCTTACAAATCCAAATTTCCAAAACATGACTGATGATAATAGTTCTCCACCATCACCGCTACCAAAAAACGAAGAACCTTTACCTCAAAAGAGCGATCAAGCTGATAAACAAACAGACGCTAGCCTGGGTAGAACTACCCAAGACATTCATCAGAATCATACCAGGCCACCATTACCTCACGAACTAACAGCCGAATGGACAGTAAAGGCTCAATTGAAATTTGCTCGGGCTGGTGAAACCGTACGTAGAGAGTTTAGTTCTAATGATCCCGTCAATCCGGTAAGAGTTGTTTACAAATGGTCTACCTTCGATGTGAATACGGCAAGTCCAGCTCAGGATGCCGATGAACGTCATGAGAAAAGACAAAAAACAGAGAGAGAAGAAGAAGAAAATTACAAAAGAAATTCCTCACGTTGCTCTGGTCAATCACAAGACCCTTCAAAGGTAGTCGTAATGTCCTAACAATATTAAAGCACAATATTACAAAAGCAAACAAAAATTTTTTTTTTTATTAGTCTCGGGGCGGCGGTTCCTCTTACCGACCTCATGAGAGCTTTCGCTCGACAACTTCTTCTATGACTTGTGGCGACTTTGGTGGCGGTGATTCTGCTTTTAGTGGGTCCAATACCTCGCACAAACGCATCCCACAAGCGGCAGATGATAAGAAGAACAAGAGTCCTAATTATTATGGTACACGGTGTCGCAGCACGTGTAACATTGTAGTATCGGCAGTGGCTGACTTCTTGCCATGTCCGGTATCTACTAAGACTACTAGCGAAATGAGCGTGGATGACAATTCTAATTTTACCACCACTTATCAATTTATACCCCAAGAAGAAACAGATCCTTTTGTATTTAATACTACCGCTTCGTATACAGTTCTGCCGGAAAAGGTAATTGAAGGCTACTCTACGAAGTGAAAGATAAAGAAGCACTTTTCGCTGAGGTGGGAGAGCGCACACTTGTAGTTATTCTTGTTTACTAATTTCCATAAAACTTATGGTATCTAAAAATGTTGTCAAAGCGCCTCGCGTAAATAGTAAGCTCGCTCTAAAATCGATGTTTACTTCCCAGTTCATTTCGAAGGACTCTTCTGTAAACTACTTTACCCTCTTTTTAATACAAGAGCTTTCACAAGCTTTTGTTTCTTAAAAAAGTTGTTTAGTTTCATGATGTCAGTTTACTTCTTTATGACGTGTGGTCCCATCCGGCGAAGCCCTGGTTAGAAGATTTTACAATGGCAATTAAAGTGCTTCTTTTTTGTATAAAGAGAAAAAAAAATAGAAGAAAATTTCGAATTTAATATTTTATTATAAATTCAGTCATTCGTCGATGAGGATGTAACTTCTCAAACTGCAGCATCTGGGAATTTTGCTTCAATGGGTAAAATTTTGAATTTACGTGATGCTTTTTGTCAGACAAGTGATACAGAAACTAAATACTTTGAGGAGCATGATAAAAGTCGCTACATAAGTAATAGAAGTCCTTTGGACCGTTTAAAGACTCAACGTTCGTATGATCCACGGGATCGTTTAGTGGACGAGGGAAACTCCTTTATGGTGGGTTTTTATTTGAGAAGATTCTGTGCCCATGGTTAAAATTTAATTCGATTTTCTTTGTAGCCCTCGTATCTTGCATCACCTTCGCAAACATTTAAGTCCGCTTCCTTGCCACGTATGCCTTTTTTAGGCTCTAGTGCAAATTATCTGCCTCATCCTACAGCGCCTCTATTGACTTCTCAGAAGTGTGCCGCACCCAATAATCCGGAACTTCAGAAGAAACCTCGTACCGTACACATAGATGTCTACTGCACAGGATCGGAGGAAGATCAAGCTGATGCAGAATCTTCAAGTTCAGATTCTGAGGCAGAGCACAGTAGCAAGCGTCTAGAGGTTGAGTCAAACTCGACTTTTCAAACCGTTCTTGAAAATGAGCAAATGCGTTTAAGACATCAGCGCGTAACGGACAAACAGGCGCTTCCTAGGCGTTTAGCACAACAGCAAAAGTCTGAACCATCAACGCAATTAAAGAAGCCTACACTAACAACACCTACGTCACCTTCTCTCCCAACAGATATGCCTTCAGGACACGCTATTACAAAGTCTAGTACAGCCGAGGAAGTTCATGAATCCAAGCAATTGCTTTTCCGTAAACATGTCGGTGATCAGAGGGCTATCAAATTACACAATTTGCGACAAAAATATCTACGTCAATCCAGCGACGATGCTTTAAGTTTAGGATATCCTAATTCATCAAGGAGCACGGTCAGAGATAATACATGCAGTAGCGTTTCCAGTGTCCTTGCTGCTGATACGGTAGACTCTGCGTGGAAAGAGGCAGTAGATCTTGAAGACACTTCTTTCTCTTTGGCCAAGTCAGATAGTTTTGAATATGAGAATGCTTTAGATCGCTTGCGAATACGCCAAATGGAAAGTTTATGGTCTCGAAACCAAGTTCATGAAGAAGACTTAAAAACCGCCCCCTGCTCTTCGCCATCTGGCCATCATTTGCAAACCATATCAGAAGTTGCTGGTCCCTTAAGACAAGGACCAGATATTTTACTTTCAGAATCTGAAAACTTTTCCGAGACAGAAAATTTCTTTCCTGCCTCCGCTCATTTTTTACGTGATCGTCCAGGATTTTTGCAATTCTTCGGTCCACAAAATCAACCAACTGGTCTACGGCAACAGCGACAACAACAGGAGCCGTATTCGGCCCCTGTTGAAATGCAAACGGAAAGCACTTTTGTTTATCCCGCTTATTCCCCAAGCTTGCAACGCTGGAAGAGTGAAGCACGTGATGATCTATCAGGCGAGAGTTCTACAGCTCTCACACCAAAAGACTTGAGCCGACATAACTCTCCTCGACTTTCTCAACGAAGTGGAAGTGAGGCACCGCCTGCCACTACTAGCGCTAGAACCTTTCCAGTAATTTCCACTACCAGCGCAACAGTAAGGCGCTTTGAGCTCCTGACTCCAAATTATCATTCTACGCAACCATTAGGTTATTTATCATCTCCCCCGGGATATTCCACCGAATATCTGGATAAGGCTCGCAAATTCGGTGATGTTGTGGTCGTACGTAAACCTGGTCATCATGTTGGACCCACCAAAAATCCAAACTGTTCTTGTGAATGCTGTCAACGTTGGCTTAACGAACGCATCATGTTACGTGGTCGTGCGTTCTCTTTGGGAGAACGTCCCTTACTAAAACGATCTTCCTAATATTCAATTTCGGGCATTTTTCATAGGTTGCATTACACTGCCTTTTATGTTTATGTTTAGTTTATACATTATTTTGTATATGCATTTACTCTGAACTAACCAACGATCCTAGTTAAGTATCGTTTCATATTCAATACTAATCTATAAGTTTTCATGTTCCTAACACAGAAAAATAAATATTAAAAATTAAGTTTTTTATATGAAAATCTCCTTTCGTCGCTCAGAAACTTTAAATTGTAGATTCCAAAACCTAGTCTACGAATGGGGTAAGCTTTTGCAAATCAAGCCAAAAATATTTCTTTCAAAGTTTTATGCCTCACTTTGTGACCATTTGTGTTATACGTGTACTAAATTTTTTGTTATTTATTTAGGCTCATGTGCGTCTTTCGGAATCTTCACGGAAACTTGATCTCTTGCGTCACTCTTTGGATTTACGACGTCTGGAGTTGCCAGCCGATTCTTTGGCTGCTCAACAATTAAAATCAGAATTACAATCCGTGCAGCAAGCTTCCTCGCCGGTACCATTCAATTACACCTCCTTGCAACCTTTTCATGGTGGTCTTTTGGGCGGTAAACCCTATCAACAGGTTTCAACATTGGGTCGTTGTGCTAGTGTTACGGGTAAGTTAGAGGTGCGTTTAATGGGTTGCCAGGGTCTGTTAGAAGATGTGCCCGGGCGATCGCGTCGCGATAAAGACAACAATTCTAGTCCCGGCGACTTGAGAAGTTTTGTGAAAGGTGTCACTTCACGCAGCAGCTCAAAAAGTTACTCGGTTAAGGATGAAACTTCATCAGACATTATGGCTGTTATAAAATTGGACAATATAACTGTGGCGCAAACGTCATGGAAACCTTGCTCGCAACAAGCTTGGGATCAACGTTTCTCTATTGATCTAGATCGTTCACGTGAATTAGAAATCGGTGTTTATTGGCGCGATTGGCGTTCTCTGTGCGCCGTAAAATTTTTACGCTTGGAAGAATTTATCGATGATGTACGACATGGTATGGCGTTGCAGTTGGAACCTCAGGGCTTGCTTTTTGCGGAAATAAAATTTTTAAATCCAATGATTTCGCAAAAACCAAAGCTACAGCGGCAGCGTATGATTTTCAATAAGCAACAAGTCAAAAATATACCCCGAGCTAAGCAGATGAACATCAATGTGGCCACTTGGGGTCGTTTATTGAAACGCAATGCTCCAAGCAATAGTGCTTTAAATCAAGCCAATCGTTCGACTACCGCACGAGACAGTGAATCACCAATATCACGTACTCCTTCGTCTGGAACCATAGACGCGGAACCAGAACCTTATTCCCCCGGGATAATGGCGCAAAACTTGCAATACGATCCAGATGCCGGTGCAGGGGAGCACGTAGAGACACCTGGCGAGTGTCCAGATCCTGCCGTTTCGGGTCTTAGTGGCTTGCGTCCGCTCTCCATGCAAGGCATAGCTGCCTTGCCGCCGGAGATTCCAGTAGCACCACCTTCAGTGAAACAGAACAATGTTAACGTTAACAATAATTTGCGCTTGAATATTGTGGGTAAAAATGCTGGTCCAAATCCTATACCGAAACCGCCAGCTAGTGGCTCGAAATTGCCAACACCGACTGAACAATTGCCAACTCCGCCAGCAGTTCCGGCCACTTCACCACCAAAGCTGGATCAAGAGGTAAGTCATAACTGTTTTAAGAACAAACTCGCTACTTGGCAGCCAGCAATCAAAGCCAAGCATGTTTCTAAGCTATACTTTTCATACTATTCATCACTTCTAAAAGGAGGCGGGCAATACTTTTTGAAAACCTTTTGCTCTATCATATCATTTCGGGTAGAAATTCGGTGTTTGTTGCAGAAAAAAAAAAAAAAAAAATCTATATCATAACTAATTTTCATGGTGCATGGTTAATCAGCCATTTGTAAAAATCGTTAACAATTCCACAACACTTCCAAGCTATTCTTTTATACATTCAAAATTGAGGATCGGATCTCGGAGTAGGGAAAATAAATTCAGTATAATTGGAAGTCTTGGTAAAGGGTAAATTGCGTTTATTCACTTTTCCTTCCATGGATCTATCAAGTATCTCCTTGGGCTCTCTTAACTACCGATGAGATGTAGAAAAAAAGTGATCACAAAGTTTAATTAGTGTTTGGCCCAATTTATGAAAGGTTTAAAAACGAAAACATAGCATATCGTGTCTAAGTGTCACTAAAAACGCGGAAGGCTAAAGCGTTGAATATAACGAGCCAGGAAGCGGGAAACTTTCTTCTTTTCGTAGGAATAATTCGCACTGACAATATTGGAGCACTATGACAGGCAGACAGCAGTGACAGATTTGACTTCCTTTTCACTTTTGGAAATAATACTAGTAAGCGACACAATGAAATTTCCGATGTTAATAACAGTGGTGGCGAGAGTTTGGACTACGTCTGAAGAAGTTTTCAAATGTTTAATAAAACGATTGATTGGTCATCTCCGGTATATTTTAGAGCACACTTCAGAACATAATTTATTCGGTTGTCCATCGCTGCCCTAACAAAAACTAGTATAATGGTTCACGTCAAAACTGGCACACATAGTGCGATCTTATACTAAATTTAAACGTAGGTTAAAACTTAACATTAACAAAAGGATAAACGCGAAATATGCTTGACATGTTTTCCTTTTTACTTCACCTTTCTTTCTTGGGTCTGAGCGCTAATAATAAAATGAGATCATTGTCCATTTATTAAGTTTTATTTTCTATTCTCACTATTTTCCTTAATTCTCTTTTATTTATTTTGTTGGTTGCTTTTGTTTTGTATTTGAAAAATTTTGCTCGTTATTTACTTTTTGTTTTTTCAAAATGTATTTTGTACCGTTCCTTTTTTCCCTCTTTTCTACTTATATTTCTGTGTATTATGTGTCTCGTTGTGTATGTGTCCTCTTCCTATCTTATTGCTAATGGATCACAGTTACAGAGTGCCTTGCGAGAATTTGACTTTTTAAATCAATTGGATTCGCAACCAAATACTTTACAGCGTCCCACACATCAACAACAACAACAGCAACAACGTCAACAATTGTTACAACAACAAATTATCCAAACGCAACCATTACAACCTCAACCTCAACAACAAATATTGCAGCAGCATTATTTGGCCACAGCTGCTCAACAGGTGCTACCCCATCATATACCTATAAATGCGCAATCGCAAATACCCATCTACGCCTATCAACCAAGCGCAGCGACTACTGCCTCAGAATCATTAATAAGCGTTAATACATCATACGCAACAGTCATCACAACTGCCACTAGTATTACCACATCCGTCATTACCACCAGTTCATCGTCATCATCAAACAACATTATATGTAATAATAATCAGAATAGCAGCAACAACAGCAACAACAATAATAATAATAACAATAATAATAATAATAATAATAATAATAACAGCTATTATATGCAAAGATCAACACCCGCCTTACAAATCAATTCAACTCTTAATCAACAGAACACTTTAATGCCACCCTTACCCTCAAGTGGAGGCGGAAGTGTGGCTAACATATATCATCGTCCGGTGCTGGCAATGCCACCTGTTGTTTTAATGGGCGGCCAAACGGAATACAACAATAGTCCAATTATTGAAATGCCTCCCTCACCTGCTCCCATTGTAGAGTATCCTGAAGACGATGATTATACACAAAATTACCGCAATTGTAGTATTGCTGCTAGCGATGGCTTCCAAGTAGAGGTTAGGATTGAAAATAAGAAAAAAATATTCCTTGTTTTTTTTTTATGCTTTTCATTACTCTCTTTTTATTTATCGTAAATGAAAGTACGGAGAAGAGAGCACACAAAAGAAAGCTGATCATCCGTTTTAAATATTTTTTACGCGATTAGTTGACTTTACGTGGTTTTTTTTCTTTTTTTTTTTGAAAACATTCAGATTTTCAGTTTGCTTCTCTGTGCTGCATTTATTATTATTATATTAAATAATTGAATAAAAGCTTTAAAACTACAATTCAAGATTTAAGACTATTAAAATCGGTATTAAAGTTATTGAAGCTTTAAAGTTAGTAAAGCCATGAGGCTATTAAACTCACTACTAAAGTTGTTAAAGAATTATAAAGCTTTAAAGCTAATAAAGCTTTTCGATTATTAAAAATATTGAAATCTTTAAAGCTTTAAAGATTTAAAATTATTAAACTCACGATTAAAGTTATTAAAGCTTTAAAGCTAGTAAAGCTTTACGATTATTAAAATTGTTAAAGCCTTTAAAGCTTTAAAGATTTAATATTAATAACCTCACTATTAAAGTTATTAAAGCTTTTAAATTATTTGATATAATCTTTAAAAGAAGAGAAAAAATATTTTAATTTTCTTTTATTGCTAACAATTACTAACTAATCTCCTCGTCTCTTAGTCGTTTGTTTTTTCATTTTTTTTTTTTTTTTTTTTTTTTTTGTATTATTCAAAGCTTTTCGGTTTGGTTCAATCAGTGATTATAATTTTCAGATACCAAAAAGAAAAAAGCTTTAATTGGGGTTTAATTATAATTTCGTTACTTTTTTTTTTTTTTTTTTTTTTTTTTTGTTATCGTTTCAATCATGGCTTTATTGCGTTGTTTTATGCCGTAACATGTCGTCAGCTTTTTTTGTTGCCTTATTATCACTTAACGTCCATAGAGACGTAAAATATGCGAATGTATTGCATAGACTGGTTAAAAATAGCTTATGTGTTATAATCTCGGTTGTGTTTTTAATTTGGTCTAAAAATACATTTTTAACTATTAAAGGCTTCATATAATCTCTACACAAAAGCACAAACATCTGTATCATAAAAAGATATGTATTAATAACACATAACTAGTTTTTTTTTTTTTTTTTGTTGTTTTAAGACCATCTCGTCACCCTGTTTTTACACCTTTCATGGCAAATCTTTGTTCATTTTTCGTTGTTACAAACACCTTTTATTAATAACAATAATAATAATAAAAAGCAACATCGATGCCACACTCACTACACCTAATCAAGTAAAACATTCACAAATAGCTCATACCACTTACACTTACTTTTACAACTTACACAACACGGTATCATTGTAAATATATTTTTTTTTTTTTTAAATATATGTAAACACTTTTTTTATTTATTGATATGTATTATGAACAACTAGAGCTTTGGAATTTGTTTACCGAACAAGAATCTTTTCGCAGTTTTTGTACTGTAGGCTACTTGTTTTACAAGCATGTACATTCAATAAGTGTGAATGTAAGCAACACCCATAGGGACTTGAGATAGATCCACTTTATATTATACCCATCGATTTAGAATCACTTTCTGAACCGATCTAAAATTGTCTGTCGGTTTTTCCTGTTTGTCTTTCTTCCTTGGGTACTTTCTACAGACCACAATCTTTTAATGAAGCTTGGTAAGACGACATGTTGCCGCCCAAGGACAAGCTCGGTTGAAACTGGATACAGATCGGACCTCTTTTTCGACCACTTAAATATATGTAACACCTTATGTTGAAAAGTTTTTATATGAATAACTATACTAAGCGGAGTGGTCTAGCGTATTGAATGGTGGGCGGCGTCCAAATGCAATGTTTTCAACTGTTAAAAAAATGAATTTGACTTATTTTACAAGATAAAATAAGCTGCCAAAAGGGACCGTTTTCATACCCTACTTTTGTCGAATTGTCACAATCGCAAACATGAAAACAGAAACTTGAAATTTGGCACGAATAAATACGTCCGTCAAAGCCGCCCTCACCACAATCGTCCCGATCGATTTACTAATACGTGAATAGTTAACACTAAAATGTGAATATCAGTTTATTTCCAACTTATATGTAGTTAAGTAAAGATTATGCTAATATGCGTTAGAATAAATTAATTATTTAAATGTTCGCGGTATATACCAACGGCGGCTGGAAAACCCCACTATCTAATACAAGTAAGAACAATATAGTGAGGTATGACCCCATTGCACCATTAAATAACCTACATCATCCATACAGTTTTTCATAAAAAGGCTTTTCAAAATCAGACATTATTCGATTTTCGATGGCCTTCGCCTATGGATCAAAACACATCAGATACCAAATTTCAAGAAAAGGTCTGAAAAATACGACCTGTACGTTGAACATTCTTGCTTCTTCTTCAGGCAGATAGACAGACAAACGGATGGGTAGATAGGATCATTCTAAATGGCTCGGTATTATAAAACGTGAGTCTATGTTAAGTCTCTCGGTGCATTGTACACACCTGGACGAACTTAATACAACTTGATCCTGTAAGCTGAGTAGGATATGAACAACGATTGTAGATATTCAAAAGTGTTTTGCTACGAAAAGAAAGGTCACTAAAAAATTTTGGAATACTATATGCTTTAACACCTCTTTTTATTCTTTGAAGGTCGGAAACTAAAAAAAAATCAAAATGACGCACTGTCGATAGTTCTGTCGTTAAAACTAAAAATGAATGATAAAAACTCTTCACTAAGAGGAATGAATTGTTTGCGAAGGCTTTTCGTAATAGCAGTCTTTACGTCGTCCTGGTTGTTGCCTGCAGATTCTCTACCAGAAATCGTTTAGAATGCACTCAATCTCTCATTACTCAGAAAAGTTTTTTTAAACACCAACGAGTTTGTCTATATGTAAAAGCGTCACTACGGCGATTAGGGGATGTACAGCAGCTTACAGCTGCAACCCCACTAATACCCATCACCGAAGAATAACGGGTATATTTAGTTTGTCAAACCGTTTGCAACGCCCAGAAGGAAGCATCATACAACTCACAAAGTACATATATATGTTCTTGATCAGCATCAAATTCTAAATCTATTTAAGCATGTCCGTCTGTCCGTCCGACCGTCTGTGTAATGTCTGTTGAAAACATTCTCCTGGCCGCTAAAATTAAGAATTGAATTTAAGTAAGGGGAAAAGATTAGAAGTTCTTACACGCAGATTGATATTCAAAATGGGCCAAATACGTCGAACGGCATGCTCTCGGCATCACGTAAACTGAGCGCAGCTCCGTTTTTCAAAATGCTTTTTTCCTCATTACTATAAACTGTAGCAGATAAATGTGCAAAAATTTGGATGCATATTCTATGAGCAATGTCGTAGCATCTATGGACAAGAATGGAAATAATTGACGACGCCTACCCAATATTATATTGTATCCGAATTTATTTGTTTTTTCAATATCTTTAAAACGCGCAGGAACCAGCTTCAAAAACCCTATAAATTATAAAAATTCTTGCCAAGTTGCAAATCTGGACTGCACCTAAACATGTTCGCTTATTCGTCTGTCCATCTGTCTGTTGGCGAAACTTTATAGTATTTGTGATAAACATTCTTCCGTTAGCGCAAATGAAGATATCGCCTACAAATTATCAAAAGTAATCGGAATTGACAAAGGGCACGCCTATAATATCCAAATGTCCATACGAAAAAAACTTCCATTTTGAAAATATAAAAAATCAGTTGCGCCCACTCCATGTTATAGAGCATGAAAATTTTGTTCTTTTACTTCCTTCGGCATTTTTAAGATAACGAAGATGGGTATAAAAGATGCGGTCCCGACCGAATTTAATTTTTTTGGTTGTTATTTGTTAAATGTTATCGCATCGTTGACTATTGGCGTAACCTTTCGAAAGGTTCTTATTTACTTTCTCAGTTAAATAACAACAAGCAGTACCAAGTATTTGCCATCTCTTGCTCTCCATCAGCTAAGTATTAACTGTTGAACTGTCTACCTCTTAGCTACCTGTCAACTGCTGGACATCAGTAAGTCCCCGTTTTCTTTCTCTTTATATTTTATCAGTAAATACTTAAGCTATGTTTCTCTCTCGAAATTTTTTTCTAATATTATTTGTTGTGCATGCATTACAATTTTTCAAAGGCCAATGTCTACTCTTGCTCTTGAAGCTCATATAAGTTTTTATCAAAATTCTTATTTTTTTATGGAAGTTTTTCCTAAGATAACGGTAATTTGCCGTTATTACAATTACATATGTGCAAGAAAGCAATCATCAAATTTCAAGAATACTAAAGAGAGACCGGAAGAAATATTACAAGACAACGTTAATGTTGATATCAATTTATTGATTAGATCAGATTTTGAAGAACTGATCGTCGATTTTGATTCTTTGGCCATGAATGTTTAATAAGATAATGCAGTGTGCCAAAGGTGTCTGGAAATTATCAAATTATTGAAAGCGGAAGTTATGTTAGGCTCAAGTTGAAACTCAACCACAAATTTTACTTTCACTCGATATAAATGTTCGAAAACTCGAAATAATTTTAATAAATTTTTGCTTAGGCAGCACAGGTTGGCTCGAAAAACAATATAAGGTGTCTGCTTGTCCTAAAGAGGATAAAAATATGGTAAACAAGGAACACTAAGATCATTAAATACTTCACACATATACTTATATAGTTTTTCGTAAAACGACTTTCTAAAGTAAGATATGGTACGGGGAGCAGTTGAAAAAACGTTCTGATCCGAATCACTTTCACTAGCATTAGTCCTTAGATCAGTTACATTACAATATCTCGAAAATTGCAAGCTGTATATGAAAGACAAGAATATTAGATGGACAGAGGGACAGATAAAGTTAAAATTAGTTTCTGAACTGGTCAGTATAAAGGCTTTGGAACGTGACTCGGTGAGTCAAATACCTGCGAATATTATATATTGCAGCAAGCTTGTGTTACAGGTGGTTTAGGGTATGAAAGTGCACTTTAAGTGATATTATGAATGTGAATAAAGTATCGCCATATACTTTCAGTTTTTCTTTTTTCGAGGTTTTTATTCATTTTTTATAACCATCTTGTGAGGAATTCTTGTATATATGCGAAGGAACGTAACGTTCATTCGTTATTAGCGTAAATGATTTTGAAGGGTTTGAAAACATTGTTTCAATTCACATAAATAGAATAAAAACGTATATAAAATTAGTTTAAAAATAAATCGCATTTTCTTGTGTACGCAAACGTGCCCCTCAGTGCAGAGCCCTCACTTAAAATAATAAGGCAGTCAGCCACCTCCCCAAGAAATTCATTCAATGTGTATTTATTTATTTTTATTTATTTTTTTTTTTTTTTTGGGTTTTAGACCACCTTTGCCATTCACGTTACGTATGACACTTGGCAAAAATTTGAAACGTAAATGCAAAGAAGAAAAAATAATAACCAATTAGTCTTCTTCTTATATTTCTTGGTGCCATGTCTTTAAGATGTTTTTGCAATAGTATGTCAACCATACGCAGGCATATTAGGTTTATTACTTCGTATACGCCAATTAGGAATACATTTCGGAGAATCGGCAAAAGAATAGAAAAAGCTTTTAATATACTTAAGATGCTGTCGTGAAATCCCTTTCACCCAATCACGGCTAAAGCTGCTGAAATGTTTTTATTTGCCAAAGGCATTCTTCCACGAGCTCCGTCACGGTGCTTTGCACACTGTCACAAAATTTCTTTGTCCTCTTCAATGAAATCAAGGACCGTCAGGGAAAACGGGAAGAAAACGTAAATATAAGAAATGTATAAGATCTAAATCAACTTTGGATGATTTCCTCTATCCGTCTTTCCGGTAAAAGCCGTTTGCCCGTAACTACGTAACGTAATTAGTCTACAAGCGGCAAATATATCGCAAACAATTTTCTACACGTATTTCTTTACGGTAATTTGAAATTGTAAAACTTGGGACATTACCATTTTTTTTATACGGTTTTTACTCACTTTTACGTAAATAGTGTAAATTATGCCGAGAAAGCTCTGCGGAGTTTGTAAAACTACACACTGTTTACAATTGAAAGAAAATGTTCAATATTAAAATTCCATAAATCAGATAAATGAGTTAACTACAGACGCCATAGGACAGATTGTTCTTTTTACACGAACCCAAATCATGAAGATAAACAGATTTACTGAAAAATATTCCGAAAACTGCTTGAGAAAAAGCAAAAAAAAACCAAAAAAAAATTTTTTTTTTTTTTTAATCAACCACTCAGGGCATGCCCCCTCGAGGTGTAACAAAAAATGAAGATAGGAAAAGAGATAAGGGGAAAGCCGCAGCCTACTCCCTGTGAGCCCAATTCAGTTAATGTTATGTCTTTCCCGACTGAACACTCACTGAGATTTGAATCCGCGAACACCGACCTGACAAAAATATCGTAAGAGCCAAGAGATTCGGCCTGAGTCACTTAAAATGTTTCTGTTCTTTTATTTTCACGTTTCCTTTTCGCTCGCTTTTATTTCATAAATATTTTGTTTGTTTGTTTTCTCTATCCTTATATATTTTTTTCTGCATATTATTCGCAGTTTTGCTTAAGAGTTCATATCGTATCAAACTAAGAATAACATATTAGAAATATATTTTTATTGAAAAGTAAAAAAAAAAAAACAAAAAAAATTATAAACAAAATTTATTAAATGCGTTTCTTGAAACAATTTTTATTAGTATTGAATCGAAAAATGTTTGAAAATACATAAGAAATTGTCCAAAAATTCCGGCATTTCTGTGAATCACACGTAAAACGCATTAAATCGTATATCGTACTAAGACGCTGTGATAACATTCATATCGTGATTGTTCGTTTTAGTTTTTTGTTTTTTATTTTTTTTATTTTATATTTTCCTTAAACGTTTTCTAACGGATATGATTTTACCAACATTTCAATTGGTAGCGAGTGTTGTTAAGCAGATTTGTGTTATTCAACGGCAAAATCATTATAATGCTTCCTCTTCCAATAAACTATCCAAATATAATAAACGTGTGACGTCTGCTATAAATTTATTATGTCCCCATTTGTTGTTTCAACCATTATGCATATTACCACCGCCACCAACCAACGACATATCAACGACAATAGCAACAACAAACACTATACCTTCAGTAACAATAATCACACAATCACAAGTATGTATATGTATGTATGTATGTATGTATGTATGTATGTATGTATGTATGTATGTATACGTGACCGGGTCATCATAACATACTATACTATATACTATAGGATTGTATGTTGTGTGTTTAGTGTCATCTATAGATGTCAAAATTTTCATTTTCATTCTTTTATATAGAGATAAAACAATCTTTGTCGCCACATCTCTTTTTTGTTGTTATTGTATTCATATACAAATTTCGTGTTATTTGTTGTTTTATTCATACTTTCTCCCTTCCCATTTCTCCTCTGTGTCTCTTTGCTGCTGCCTTTCTGGTCCATGTAGTAGTTAATTATCATATGATGGGAATTATATTTTGATTATTTATTTATTTTTTTTGGTTTCAATTCGTGGATAAATAAATTTAAAATTTTTTACAGTTGTGTTGTTTACTGTTTGAAATTTTCTGTAATAATTTTACAGGCTCACATAAATCTTGTACATATAAGCATTGAACCTTTAAGTGACATTACTTTAAATTTACCAACGATCACTGCAACGACAACAACAACAACAACAACAACCACATCAGCAACATTATGCGACAAGCATGCTTTTACCGCCACTATAGCGACATCAACAACAACAACAACAACAACAACAAATATCAATACATTTGACTCTTTAACAACACTATCACCAGCGACACTCTCTATTACATCATCATCTGCTCCCATATATATCAGTACACTTGAATACTTTATAGAAAGCCATAAAACAGATGAACATGATGCGAAGGTAATGTTTGGAAAACAAAATTTTTTTTGTAAATTATAAAAAAAAAAAAAAAAAAATTTTTAAATTTAGTTTAACGCAGAGGAAAACAAGTAAAAATACTATAGTGGGATACAGCCCACCACTAAAAACTCTACGTCACATCCTTTAATACAATTATTCGTATATAAATAATATTATATGGAAAGTGGCCAAATAGAAATCATCTTCGCAAAATTTGCGAACTGCAAGTTGATCCCAAGAAGACAAGAAAGGCAGACGGAGAGACAGCCTTTGTTTGGTTCAAAAAGTCAGTCTGTATCGGTCAGTATAATAAAAAGTGGGTTTTTGTCAAGCCCTTCTGGGTGTTTCACCAAGTTATATATATACCCTTGTACCACAAATGGTGTATGATACACTTAGGCACTCTTTAAGATTTCCAAAACTCGAAAATAGATTCGAAATTTTTTGGTCCGGTTAATAAATTCTTTCAAGGGTATGCCTTGTTTTGTTTTGGTTTTTTCTGGCTATTTTATGAAAGTTGTTCACTGATCGTTTAAACTTTAAAAGTTAAAGTCGGACATTTGATAAAAAAAAAAAACGTCATGTGCCCGTAATCAAAATTTTTACTCAGTCATCATAAACTTACTCGGTTTAGGGGAACTTTATTGTTTTTCTGTAATAGTTCCGTTAAGCATGTAGTTAAAAAGTCGGTAAAAAAATCGAAGTGTCTCGTGGGAGGCGTAAAATTTCCCTGTCTATGAAGCAAGCTTAATGAGTGAAGAAGGAAGATACTCTAAGACAATTCGTTAAAAATGGGGGCTTTACATATTCATTGTCCGCATCGTTCGTCATTGTGTCAAGACTTATCAGTGTTCCAAATTTCACCAAAATATATCGAAAATTCCGATCTATAGGTCAATGGACAGATGGACTGTCCTAAATAAATTGATTAGAAAAATGATTCTGAACGAGGAATGTAATAAGACATGCCTCTACCTAAAATCCTATCGCTCGCTTCGAAGGGTACAATTATTTTGAGCGATAAATGCCATTTTCGTCTTTCTAGGGCATTTAGGACTACGATAGATGAACAGCATCTTCAACAATAACGAGTGACAGTTTCATTCAGTTTTATCGAATCTATAAGCTTGAGACATTTTTTGATTAAATTTGGTGAACTGATGTATTTTGGCTCAAGAGGAACGCTGCTGAAAATGTATCAGATGAGACCATTTTTGCGACCAATTTCCATATAATGCCTTATTTTGAGAAATCTTCGTATAAATATTTGTGGAGTACAGTACGATATTTAATGGTGGGCCGTGCCCCACCATAGCGGATTTACCTTTTTTTTTATTATCACGTAATCATCTAAAGCAGATTGCGAACAGAGATTCAGTCAATTGGCATAAAAGTAGCCCTAATCAGTTTATACAATAACAAGTAAGAAAATTGTACTCGGTCATGGCCCATTACCGTGATCTTGAAAAAAATGGAAAAGAATTAAATTTTTACACTCTTTGATATTGAATAGGCGCCGTTCACTTTTTCTAGTTTCGGAATGAAAGCGGAAATTTATATGGTGTGTGACAGAAAACAAAGGTGTTCACGATTTTTGTTACATAAACGTTAAACAATTGTAGACATGTTCTTGGAAAAATTTGGGTCATTTCCAAATTCTTCTTCAAATACCAAGTTTGTGGGTGATATCTTAATTTTTGCGAACGGTAGAATGTTGCCACAGATATTACATAGGTGCGTAGTCGGAGAGATGGAGAGACGAAATTGGCCGGGAACTTATACACCTTATGGAGTTTTTGAATCTTATTTCTGTGGGTTACAAAAGTTTTGTAAAATAATGGAAATGTGACACACTACAAAATTAAGTAGGTGTGACCGATTTTCTCCCCTCTTGTAGATATGCTATAGCATCGCCTATAGATATACCTGCAAATTCTTGTAGGTTTATCTGCTGTAGTCTATGAGTAATGAGCAAAAAATCAATTTTTTATTCCTTTTGAAAAACAAAGATGTTCGTAGCTATCATAGTACTGTAGACGTGCGCTTCAACAGATTTAGCTGATTTGCAATACTAATTTGCGCGCGAGAACTTCCAATGTTTCTGCTAAATTTGTAGTTCATTTTTGCACAGACGTTCTTATTTTGACATTGTCGGGTCTCTGATGCTTCCTTCTGAGTGGTGCAAAATGCATGTACTCCCTATTCTTCGGTGATGGGTATAAAAAAGGGACACTATTTGTAAAAATATACTTCAAATAATCGGTCTCCCTTTAACAAAAAAAAAAAAAAAAAAAATTTTATATCTCTAGCGATTCGATCGATTGATTAACTTTATAAAACATATGCAATATTCTTCTTTTCATAGAGAAGTCTACAAATATTTTGGTGATATGTAACGAACAAATATTATATGCAGCAGACAAATGTCGATCAGCGAAGATTTAATTAATGATCGACCATGAGAAACGATGTAGATCCACATCGTATGTTTAAACCCTCATATCTCATTATGTAGCAACCTTTGCATAGTGTTTTTTTTAACCATTAAATGCATATTGTTGCCAGTTTTATTTTGTCTTTAGTTCTTTTTTGTTTAAATTTATTTATTAAATCAATTTAAAAATTAAGAGGACCTGGAATGCAAACAATCGGCAACAATATGCATGTAAGGGTTACTTAATAGTGAAATATTATAGAAACGAAAGTACAAGTCGCCAATAGTTAAAGCTGGGATCAAGTAATGCAAGGTGTGGTAAACAAGAAAAGATCGTTTCTCCTTTTTTGTTTATTATTTTCCTTAATATTCACTCTTCCCCTATCCCCCGCCCCCCGGAAAGGTTTGTGTTGGTCATTTATTATTTTGTTGAGAATCGAATCGAATTCAAGAAATATTGAAATATTTAAAAGAGGGAGCTTTTTAGAAAAATATTTTCTGTATGAATGGAATCGAATTATCATATACATTATATATATTGAAACGCATAAGTCGATCTAGTAAACAAACGGCTTTTATAAATTTAAATAACTATCGTTTGGTCTGGTGAGATTTTTCCGCGAATGAATATTTTTTAAAGTCTACTTTTAGGATTCGCTTTTTGAAAACTCAAAAATGAAAGTCAGAAGAAAATTTTCTTCAATTGATTTCCAAGCTCCTGTTGTACATAAATTATTTAAATTTTTTAATTTAAGGTAAAAATTAAAAACCAAAAAAATGCACTCACGTATATATTTAATATATTTGTAAAGAAATATTTTTAACAAAATATTATTAACCCACTGAACTGTAAATTAAAAAATTAGAAAAAAAGCATTGATAATATGTTCCATTAATAATTTCCTCTCATTAGGTTATACCACAATTTAGCAACCTTTCTATAAGCAATAATAACCTACAACAACAACAGCAACAACAGTCAACACAATCCTCACCAGTTATACAAGAGCCACCGACACCATTGGTGTATGGTAGCAGTCAGATAACTGGTAACGAACTCTTGGCGCCACAGTTTCCAGCACCTCAACCGGCCCAGCGTCAACAGGTTTTCGGAGGTAATATTGGATGCATTAGTGGTTATCAGCAGCAGCAGCAGCAGCAGCAGCAACAGCAGCAGCCTATCTATCAAAATCAATTTGAATTACAACATCAACAACAGCACCAACAACAACAGCAACAGCAGCAACATGCTCAATCGCGTCGGAATGTTGCTCGTGGTCTACAATATCGTGACCCGGCGTATGAGCCTAGAAGGCAATCTCAAAATGTCGCCACTGGTTCGCCCGGCATCCTCTCAATGGATAATTTCCGGATGCTTAGTGTATTGGGTCGAGGCCATTTCGGCAAAGTTATTTTGAGTCAATTACGCACTAACAATCAATATTACGCGATCAAGGCTCTAAAGAAAGGCGACATCATCGCACGTGATGAAGTTGAATCACTGCTTAGTGAGAAACGTATTTTTGAGGTGGCCAACGCTATGCGTCATCCATTTTTGGTTAATCTATATGCATGCTTTCAGACCGAAGTAAGTGCACTAAAGAACAATTTCATTTCGATAATGATGATAATGATGATGATGTGTGTGGATGACGTTGTTAATAAAATTATTTTTGAGCAAAAATAATTTTTCATATATTATTCTTATTTTTTTCATGTTTTCGTTTGTTTTTTTTTTTTTTTCTTTTTGTTATTTATAGCAACATGTTTGTTTTGTCATGGAATATGCAGCTGGTGGTGATTTAATGATGCATATTCATACTGATGTATTTTCGGAACCGCGTGCCGTATTCTACGCTGCCTGCGTGGTGTTGGGGTTGCAATATTTGCATGAGAATAAAATCATTTATCGCGATCTGAAATTGGATAATTTGCTATTGGACACTGAAGGTAAATATAAATTTCACTTTTCAAGGACTTGTAAGTTGGCAAACCTTTTTTAAAGATAGACAATTTGATTAGCTGATGACTTCCGCAAAATACACCTTAGCCTCTAATTGATGGATATATGATTGAAAGGTTTTCTATTTTGTGCTACCTCGAGAAAATGCAGTCAAGTCTTATAGCTTTTTTTTTCCCACATTATGCAGTATTTCATTCACACACGTTTATTCTCATTCGCAAAAAAAGTTTACCAGCCGCATAAGCATCTTAAGGATTACGCCATTCATTAATGATTTTTTTTTAATTTAGTTTAAAGAACTTTCTCGTCTTTTATTCTCTTTAATGCATTACTCAACTATTTTAGTCCATTAACACTTGCTGTACCCGCTTGGGTACACATCTTCGAACTTTCCCTTTCGCACGGAAACGTGTTTTATTTTACAGAAAATAAGCCTTTGCATAATAATATCGAATCGTATTTATAGAAATTTGTAATCGAAATTTGTCCGCTTTTGCGGCTTCTTCTCATACAAGGACATCTTGAAAAAGAGATGAAAAATACATACAGAGAAATTCACACTACCAAATGTGGAACACCTTTTTTCTTATCTTTTATCAATGCTCTAAAGTGAAATATAACAAGTTAAAATTCTGTCGCGATGAACTATTAACCGCTCCATCCCACGTCCCGTTTACAATCCAAATATAAAAATTGAATAAAGTTAAATAAAAAAGAAGAAAGTGTGAGAAGCAATAGTGAGTTTTACTTATCACCAAAACTCTTCTTTTTTTTTATTTACACAAAGACTTATTATACCTTACACCACTTGTGGTGCAGAATACATCAAGTTTGTGCGGACGTATTAACACGCAGAAGCGCTTAAGTTAGACTCACCTTTGTATATACCGATCGATTTTCTGATTACCAACCGACTCAGAAAGGCTGTTTGTCCCTCTATCTGTCCGGTGTCTGTCCATGTAAATATATGTTCAAGCTACAAGTCGCAATTTCTCGGAGATGTTTTGATGAAATTTGATACACTCACCCCGAGGGCCCCACTTGGCAAACTGCGTTAGATCAAGAACCGATACTACCGGAAATGGTTGCGATCGGACTACTTTTTTGACCACTCTCCTTATGAATCCCTATTTTGAAAAGTCGGTGTGTGAGTAACTGTATGGAACGAAGTGTTGAAGAATATTTAAGGGTGGGGAGGGTCCCACTATAGTTTTTTTCACTTCTCTTTAGATAACATTTGAAGGCTTGTGTGGAAAAGATAGAATAGGAAGAAAAGAAATGCTTGTGTAAAGCTTTTTATATACGAATTTTTCTTTAATTTCTTTTTAGGTTACGTGAAAATTGCTGACTTCGGTTTATGCAAAGAAGGTATGGGCTTTGGAGATCGCACTGGAACATTTTGCGGTACACCCGAATTTTTAGCACCCGAAGTATTGACTGATACCTCTTACACACGTGCTGTAGATTGGTGGGGTTTAGGTGTTTTAATATTTGAAATGTTAGTGGGTGAGGTAAGTTTGAACGATATATGATGCGAATCAGAAAACTAATTATATATGGAAAGAGATTTAAAATAAAAGTGATATGTATTTTTTTAATATAGTCCCCTTTCCCTGGTGATGATGAAGAGGAAGTATTTGATTCGATTGTCAACGATGAAGTACGTTATCCCCGCTTCTTATCTTTAGAAGCTATAGCCATAATGAGAAGGGTAGGTATAGCTTGAGATGAATTTCGAATGAAATTGTTATGAAAATTCTTCGTTTAGCTTCTAAGGAAAAATCCCGAAAGACGCTTAGGTTCCTCGGAGCGTGACGCTGAAGACGTTAAGAAGCAAGCATTTTTCCGTTCCATTGTATGGGACGATTTACTCTTGCGTAAAGTTAAACCACCGTTCGTGCCCACAATAGTAAGTTATAATGAAAAAAAAAATTGTAACTTAAATACATGAAATGGAATTGTCTATCTTTAGACCCATTTGGAAGATGTTTCCAATTTCGATGAAGAATTCACTTCGGAGAAACCCCAACTAACACCGCCAAAGGAACCCCGTTTATTGACTGAAGAAGAACAAATGTTCTTTCAAGATTTTACCTACACAGCAGACTGGTCTTAATTGCCAAACAGTTTTATTCTTACTTTGAAGAAAATCAACAACAATATAACGTTTTACAAAAAAATATAACGTTTTATCATATTTTTGTATGTGCATAGAGTTGAAGAGCGGCAAGCTGTGCACTTTGCGCAGGTGTGTTGTGATTCTTATTTAATTAATAAGTTTATTTTTTTTTTTATATTCGTTACCATTTAAATTAATTTTATTTCATATCTGTAGCAAAAAATTGTATTTCGTGGCGTTTCTTCCCTTTTCTTTTTATAATTTAGAAAAAAAAAAAAAAAAAAAAAACAGTTTTAAAACTCTCTTTCAATTGCTTTATATATAACATATTTTTTAATTTTCTTCTTTATTTTTCGAAATATTTACATAATTAAAACTTACATATTATATAAACTGATAACAAGCAGTATAAACATATATTTTGTTTAATTTAATAACAAAAAAAAAAAAACATTTTTCTTGTATTTAATTTTATTAAATTTAAAAAAAATCGAAGGAAAAAAAGAATTTAAAGAATGCATGAATAATTGACATAATTAAGTATAAAGACAAAATTTTAAAATTTTTTTATTTTGAAAATATTTTCATAATTCTAAGCATTTAAAATTAACTAATTTTAGAATATGTTTAAAAGTATCCAAAAGAAAAAGAAAAACTTTGATCAATTTTAAATATTTATATAAATACCGGGAAAAAACTAACTTATATATATATGTATATATACATATATATATATTTCTATACGTACATATATATATATATATATATAAATATAAAGGTTAATTATTATTAAAACAAAAAATAATTTTTAATTATTACAACATTTTACTAAATCTCTTTTAAACAATAAGTCATTTATGTTTATGAATTTCTTTTTCTATTTTTTTATTAAAGAAAGAATAAAAAATAAAGTCATTTTCTTCCTAAATTGCCCACCTTCAATGCATTACCTTCCTTTCATTGCTCATTCTCGTCTCCCGCGTCTCTTTATCTATTTTAAATGCTAACGCTTTATAAGTTCAAATTGTTTGGCTTTAAGATCTTAATATCCTCTGTATACATATGTAATATTTTCTATATTCGAAAATTGTTTTTTCAATTAAATTTTTTTTTT